TAATGCATAAGTAATAGGAAAGGAGGGATCTGACTTGAGCACTTCTCCAGTTTTAAGGCACCTGGGAAGAGATAAAGAGGGACATCTCATGTCCCGTGGCAGGCAGTTTCTGAGCGTAACTGAACAAGTGCTGTAGATGACACTCTTGAGGGGAAAGGTCCTGTCGTGTCAGAGTAGCTGTGGTGATCTGACATTAGATAAACAGAAGCAGTGTTCACTTACCCCTTGGTAATTAACTATACATTTCCCGTAAATGTCTATGCTTTTTTGCTTATGTGTCCTGCTACTGCTTTAACTACGAAGAAAAAGTTTAATTGTTCACTAGATATACCTCGGTAAATGTAAATGTCTGTTCATTGTGTTAGTGTCGGCTGTTACAATTGTTTTGATTAACTGTTCAACCCCTTGAAGTTAGTGGATAGGAGGATTACTCTTTAAAAGTCACTTACCCAGTTTTCTTATTGTTTGAACTTTGCAATCTGCTCTTCTGTGGGTTGATACTTCAGGCATCTGTGTCTGTTTTTTCCCCCTCTGTTTTGTTGGTTTTCCATTATCTGGTTGGTACAATGATTAATCTTTGAAGTGTTTCTGTTTATAGGGTGGATGTGTGGACTCGACCAACCAAAGCCTGGCTCTGCTGCTCATGACCCTTGGACAGCAGGATGTTTCCAAAGTCCTCCTTGGTCCACTCTCTCCCTACACGTGAGTTATCTTCTTTCAGCCTCCTTATGCTGTCCAGTTTAATCCTCCAGTCGCATAAAATGACACCGGTGTTGAACTGAGCACCATCCTGTGAACATCTACATGTCCTCATCCTTAAGTGCACTGGAGGTTGTCACTTACATCTGGTGTTTAATGAGGATTTTGCCTTCCTTTCTTTCCTTCCTATCTGTCATTCCCATGTCATTCAGGATCCATGATATATATTGGAAAGTTCTTTTGTCTGTGCTTTAGATCTTGTTTCCATTTTGGAGGTTAACTCCTGCTTCTGTTATAGCTTGGGTATTGTTATTAGTTTTTTAAATCTCTGTTTTCCCCAGCCATGGCTAAAGGAACTGCTTTTTTGTCCAAGAGGCAAAGTCCATACTAACACCACTGGACTAGGAGGGAAATGCGGAGGTGAGTTTGAGGCTGTTGGATGTTATCAGAAGTTGACTGCTGGGGTATTAAAACAGTCACTCTCCAAAAAGAGCAGATCCTCAGAAAGTCTTGAATTCTAAACAGCACAGTGAAAGAAGCATTCCCGCTGATAGTAAACGAGGTTGCTGAGAACAGTTTGTTTGAGCACTGACATCTGTGTGTACATGTGTCTGTATACTGGAAGATCATTCTGTGGCTACCTGTGGGTGGGGAGTTGGGGAAGCGGGCCTTGGGTAGGAGGAAATATTCAAGTAGACATGAGACTGAACTGTCCTTTTTCGGTTATCATGGTACCGATGCTGTATATCTGAAAGGTACAGTACTGTGATAACTGAAGAATGGTGGTGCCATCACATTGAGAAAGGGGCAGGCACCGCAGAGAGCACAGTGTACCATTGCACCATGGTGTTGGGTATGTAGAAACCACAGCTTGAAAAAGATTCATTTGGAGGCTTTTTTTGCCCCCTGTAAAGGTGGTGGTGGAAGATTTTTTTTTTTTGAACAAGGGTATGGAAGAGAATACATTCTTTTAGCAGTGGGGGAAGACTGATAAACAGGAAACTGGTGAGGACAACATTATCTCCTGATAACTTGTGTAAAGTATTGCACAGGACAGGAAGCCTGAAATTGGGTAATCTTAAATGGCACGCTGACATCAGGAATCAACATTGCAAAGATAGACTTTGCAGTTAAGGCACTTGGAGAGGTGGTGAGGACCGGGAGCACAGCACCCTAAGAGCCGAGACTGGCTTCCCATCCAGAGTTTGCTGGAAGCGCCTGACAGCTGTGTGACCACCACGGTCCCCTTCGACTTGTTAGCTGGCCTCGTGCTGCTTTCCCAGTCTCTACTTCAGGGCAGTGGAAGACCTGACTGCTCGTATGGCATAAGGTGGTGTCTAGAAATGTGTGTGGTCATGGGGCATGGGGTTTGGCAGAACATTATGTGAAAAATGGAATGTATATTTTTATTTTTCCTTGACACTTTTTTGGGGGAGAGTTGGGTTTTTTTTCTTTCTTTCTTTCTTTCTTTCTTTCTTTTCTTTTAGAGTTTTTTTGTTTTGTTTTGTTTTTTGTTTTTTGTTTTTTGTTTCTTTTTGGCTGCACAGCCTTGTATAATCTTTTTTAGCAGCAGCCTCCGTGGAGACAGTCAAGATGTGACTGGATTTTTTTTTAAAGTTTCTGTGTCTTTGACACACCCCCTCACCAAACATGAATTACAGAGTCTTGTCTTGCAGAAACCTTGCCTAAAATCACCCATCTCCTGGGAAAACAAAGTGGTCTGCTCTGAATGGAGCTTTATAGGAATGGGGCAGATTGCAGATTTATGTACTTTGAGGCCTGAGGCTGGGGCCACAGGACAACCTTCCTCTGGCTTACCTGCTTCCCGGGGCTTCCTGTAAGAGAGGTGGCCACAGACTGGGAGAGGGCAGCCTCCCTTCTTGTGTAAGCTAGCACGGGGAGGGGAAGGGAGCTTCTTTTTGAAAGCTCTATCAGTTGGGACCTTTCCTGCCCTTATTCACTGTAGAAGCCTCCAGAGGCCCAGAGTGATGAAGGGCATAGGTGGGAATAAATATGTAGGATGTTAGGAAAGGCAAAGTAATCATCACATGTTTGAGTGCAGTTAAGGGTGAAAAGGAGACAGAATTCACAGTCAGGATGATGGTAGCAGGGGAACAGCTTATCTTAGTTGAATTCAAAAGCTTTGGAGCCCAAACTAGCACACTTATTTTTATGTCCAGTTGAAGTCATAAAAAACTGTTTTCTATAACCTCAGATTCATGAAGAAAACCAGAAGCAAGACCCTCCTTGGTCTAAAGAAATGTTATTTTTTCTGGCAGTTTGCACACTTTGATTTGTATAAATAGTTTTTTAAATGTCTGTTTACAGAGCACTGGGATTAAGGAGGATGGTTTTTTTTTTCCTGCAGTGTTGCTTTCAAACCCTTTCTGGAAAATAAGGATCTCTCTGTTCTTCTCTTTTCCTCTTCTCTCTGTCTTACTGCTAGAGCTGACTGGTAGTGGTTTTCTGTGTTATTTGACAAAGTAAGCCTGTTTGTGTGAAGTTCTTTGGGAAGGCCAGAGATAGATAGATAGATATATAGATAGATACATAGGTAGTATTTTTTGTTTGTTTTTGGTTTTTTTTTTAGTAGAGTAGAATAGTTTGGGTAACAAGCTGGTCTGTGGAGAATCTATTTCTGTAAAATTTGTGGTTTACAGTTGGTGATGGTGGTTCTCCTTTCCCCTCAAAAAGCTTAATTTTACAGTTTAGGGAGGATTTATACTTTATTTAAAAGAAGGATTATGTATCAGTGAGCATCTTAATTACTTTCAGAAATTGTTTCCGGTGCAAGATTGCAGTTACCAGAGCTTTCTGCATTCTGCCAGTGACAGGTGTTGGCATCCAGCCCATCTGGACTGGAGTCCGTCTCTACCTCACAGCACTGGGAGACCACGGACAAGGGGTTTGGCATCTCTGGGCCTCAGTCTCCTCTGTCGAGGCATGAATGGCCCTAACTCAAGGGCTTGTGGAGATGGAGCAAGGCTTGAACGAGGTCAGATGCTTAGTGTTCCCATCAGCACCCAGCGGAGCTCATTCAGTGCTGAGTGTGCTGGGAAGTCCAGTCTCCTGCTGAGGTCACTGAACCCAGGAGGCCTGGTGAGCTGGCTTTGGGCGATCTGAGGCCGGAAATCGGCTGCACATTTGCCTACTCAGCTGTCTCTAAATCTGTATCCACTGATTTTTAAATTTATAACTAATTTCCTGCAGTCACATTACTAAACAAACTGCACACATCTTATTTACTGATCCTGAGAATTCTGTGAGTAGGTGGTTATTTAACGACACTTTTGGCCAGATGTTGTTTTAAGCATGCTACAAATACAAACTCATTCAGTTTTCATGATAACCCCACAAGGGTGATTAAAGGCAGGTACTGCTATACACTCCATTTTATAGGTGAGGGGATTGAGACACAGAGAAATTGAGTCACTGGGACCCAGGTCACACAGTCAACAAGTGGGTTCAGACTCCAGTGTCTTGTCCAGAGTCCGTGCTTCCCTGACCCATGTGCTCTTCAATAAGATCTGGGATTCAGTCCATTCTCTTGGACTCCAGGCACCTCCATGCCTGAGCCGGGAGGCCATGCTGCATCTTTCAGAGTCCTCGTTTCAAATTTTCGTAAAATCATCTCCTTCTGTCTTTAGCTGTAAGTATAAAATAAACCATGTCACTTTGTTTTATTCTGGCTTTAATAAATGCCCTCTGTCCACTACTTGTGAAGTGCTGGGGTCCTTGTTAAATACCGACTGAGCGGGGTTGTTGGCTCACCTGCTCTGTCTTAATGATGTAAAGATAATTGAGATGATGCACAGGAAGACTGGGACCTGCTGGCTGAGCCTGCTGCTTTTGGGGTACTGTTGCCTAAATACTCTTCAGGAGCTGACACAATACCACTCACCTTACATTTGGGAAGCCCTGTCATCTTTATTATGCTGTTTGAGCCCCAGAAAATATTTGGCATACAGTGAAAACAAGTAATATCTTATCCTTACTTTTCATATGAAAAAGAGAGGTCAGTCACCTGTTCATAGTGAGTTCTTGGCTGAACAGGGCCCATGTCTCCTGAGAGTGCAGCCAGCCTGGCTCTCTGTGTCCTGCTGCCTTTATAACTGAATGTAATAACTTTATTCCTGAAGCAGAGATCAGCTGCACTTCAGGAAAGCTGCTCTTTGGCAGAAAAAGCACCACCAGCATATTTAAAAGCTATTACGTAGTGACTACAGGGGGCCCCACTGAGCAGATTCTCTTCCCGCCCTCAGATCTCACCCCCAGATCTTCCATCCTCTGAACTTGAACAGCAATTCCTTAGACCTGAGAGGTAGGTAACCCCAGTGTCCAAGTGGATTGGTGGAGCAGGAAGCAGGACCCTCTGTCTTGGTTTGTGTCTGTGAAACTGCCAGAGAGAGCCCCACCGTGATCTCTCACACCTCTCTAGCAGGCTTCAGACAGGGGACCTGGTAAGAGGGGCTGTATTTAAGGGACAGGGCCAGGCAACCTGGCAAGTTCCAGGCAGTTGAGATCCAATGGGCAGATGACCCTGGGCCCAGTGGCCTTCACCTGTTGACCAGCAGTGGTCGTGGGAACAGTCCACTCCCAGAAAATACTCAGGAAAAATTAACTCTGTGCTCCAGGATTCTCTGAAACCTGCTTGTCAGATGGATTGGAGGCTTTCATGAAAAGTAGGTTGTTGGTGTTCTTTTGTCTACCTGAAAATAAATCACTTTGTTCTGGCGGGGGTGGGGCAAAGCTCACTACAGATTCTTCTTTAAGTCAGGAATTCAAATCCTTCACATAGGAGTTACATAATCCCAGTTGCCTAAAAGGGTTAGTCTGAAAAGCTGCCAGTCATACTGTGCAGAGGTTATTTGTAGAGGAGCAGGGTTGCCCTTGTGTCCCATGGTGCCTCTTCTGCCTGACTCTGTGGCCGAGTGGTTGTGTCTAGAAAGTGTGGATCTACAGTATGATGTTTGGAAGAGAAGAGAAGGAAAGGGAGATGGTGCCTCGTGGGGCCAGCATGTGCCTGCAGCCTTGCGGAGCTCTGGGGCTGGGGAGGAGGATGTGGACCAGCGTTGAATGTGGCTTTGTTGAACTACATATAGATGTGGGCGAGTTTATTCTCTGGTGTTCATTTTCATAAGGAGACTGTATATTATCTATCTGAAGTTATTTCTCAGCTTCTGAGCGTGTTTGCATGTTGATATCCACCTACAGGAGACAGGGAGAGTGGGGCTGGAGGTGGGAAGACGTCCTGAAATGTACCTCAGTCCAGTCACTTACACAGTCTTCCTCAGACAGGCTGAAGGGTTGGCAGAACATTATGTAAAAAGTGGAACCGACTTTGCTTTTTCTAACGATTCCAAAGGCTACAAATACCCCAAAGCTGCAAATATGCAGGCCTGCACACTCAAGCCTGTGTTTCTCGGATCCTTCCCCAAGAGATCAGAAGCAGGCTGTGGCCTCTCAGGAGTTCTGCCAGCTGGGCGGGTGTCTGGTTTTTCCAGCACAGTTGAACAATTCAGAGTGAAGTAGACTGGGGAGGCTCTGGGAGCAGAGCATGCCTCAGGCCTGTGTTAGAACTGAGGCAGCAGCGAGAGAGAACGGGCTGTTTCTTTCCTCCTTAGAATGCAGACGAGTGGGTGAGAAGGCTGGCTTCTGCGTTGCTGCCAGCTGTAAGCTTTGCCCACAGATGTGGACTGTTTATTTATGGGTTTGATGTGTTTGTTTTCTTTTTCCCCTGGGGCAGGGTTGGGGAGGTAGTGAGGCTGGAACAGAGAGCAAAAACCTGAAAATTTCAGCTGGCTATTAAGATGCCAAAGCTATCAGGGAAAGAACTGAGTTCCCTTAACTGCTAAGAATGTTGAAGTCATTTCTCAAAATTAGCCCTAACTCCCAAATTTTATTGGGTGTCCCATTATTGAGTGCCTTATATAGTACCTAACAGGTATGATGGGTTAAGGTCGTTGCCCTGGAGGTGCTCATATAGTTTACCAAGTGGGGAGCAGTAATTATGAGACAACTATACGTAAGCACTTCATTAGCCTTCATAAGCAAAACCAAGAATGCTTTGGAAACCCAGAGGGATTATTGCCCAGGAAAGGCTTTGTAGAACAGGTGACAAATGGGATGTTATTTTCAAGGTGGAGATGAAATAGCATGATCCTGGAAGAGAGCAAAGAAGTGAGGAGTTTTTCTGTAAGCATGCAGCAATTACCAGGACCCCTTCTCTCCAGGGTAGTTACTGTTCCATCTCTTGGCCTCTGTCTTGGGCAGGCAGGGTGCAAAATTTTTCAGACTTTCTTTTCTCCTTTTCCCTCCTTTGACTAGATTAACTAGGACAAAGGGACAGGAGAGAGTGGAAAATGCATTGCAGTAGGCTTTATAGTTAGTTTGGTATATACTGTGTGAGCGTAGGAGCCATGGGTCAGTCAGTTTTTTTTTTTAACTTCAGAAATAAAATATTTATTTTAAACAGCTTTGAGATACAGGTCATATACCACACAGTAAACAGTTCAGTTGCTTTTAGTATATTCACAAAGTGTGTAAATGTAACCACAAGCTAATTTTAGAACTTTTTATCACTCTGCTTTTGAAGCTATATCTAAGAAACCATTGCCTAACCTGAGGTCATGAAGACTTATTACTGTGTTTTCTGTGAGTTTCATAGTTTTTAGTTCTTACATGCAGGTTTTTGATCCGTTTTGAGTTAATTGTTGAGTATGATGTGAAGAAAGGGTCCAGGTTCATTCCTTTTGCATGTGAGGTTATTCTTTCCCTATTGAATTATCTTGGCACCCTTTTTGAAAATTGGTTGACTGCAAATACGTGGGCTATTTCTTGACTCTTGATTCTGTTTCATTGATCTGTATGTCAGGTTCAGTATTTTGAAAGATTGTCAGATGATTCCATGTACATTCTTCAGGGGTGAGAACTGTTTGGATGGTTTGATTGGGGGGCAGTTGGACTACTTCATTAAAGATGCACAGACCATCTGTTCTTAACTAAACCACTGTTTCCAAACTTGGCCAATAAGAATCACCAGGGATGATTCTGTCCCCTGTGCACTGGGGAGACAGGGCCCGGTAAGCAGGAGGGAGGAGACGTGTAACCTGTTATATTCTGGGCTCTTCCCCATGGACACTTCCTCTCCACCAGTTGCCAGTTGATCAGAACCTTAAGGAATCTGTTTAATGAACTGTCCAGGTGGTCAGTCTAGCTGGGGTGATGCCGAATCTGCTGGGCCAGGCCACTGGAAGCCTGCATACCTGTACCATGGTCCTTTCACGGAATTACTGTTCTCAAGATACTCTTGGGTTGAAGCCATCGCTCTGCTCTGTCTTAAGGGGAATGACAAGAAACAGCCCCATGAAACCCCTCTCCATGTTGACTGTGAGCTCTTTCCTGGCCTCCTTATTTAGTGTTACCTCCTGCCATATACACATAAATTCTGTTATACTCAAATTTCCTCTCCATTTGCCTTGTTTAATTCATTTCAATTTCCTACTGTGGAGGAAGTATATACGCTTTTCAAGGATATTTAACTTATCTCGTCTGCCGCACTAGATTGAAAACTTCATGAGACAAGGGATTTTGTAGTTGACTGCACATCTCCAGCACCAAGAACAGTGCCTGGCACATAGCAGGCACTCAAAAAATATTTGCTGAGTGAGTGCAAGCGTTGTCGAGGTTGAGGAATGAAGAGAGAGACACTTCTTTCTTTCAGCATCAGCAGCAGTTGTTCGGCTTGGCTTTACCTCATGGTGCTGTGAATCGTGAGAGCACGTGATTCTCTCTGCATGAGCCGCTTTGAAGATTAATGCCATAATCATGTCCATTGTACCAAGTGTGTCGGACCAGCCTCTAACCTTTTTATTCATTTATTTAATTTATCTTGTTGTCTTGTGTGCCTCTCTGCAAGCTGTCTAAATCCTCTTTGGAATCTGGCAGGCTGTAAATAAATGCTATTTAATCAGCTTTGACGAGTTCTTAATATCAGTCATTCTTCTTGATCTGGGGAATTAAAAGCTTGGGATCTCAGTCGGAGAAAGAGAATATTTTTAAAAATCGAATTCCTCTTTGATTTCTCCCTTCTTTATTTATTTTTATTTATTTATTTATTTATTTGTTTATTTTAGGATAGAATTTTTGCGGCATTTGAAGAGCTTTTTCCAGATTATGTTTAAAATTGAAACCAAGCCATGTGGTGAAGAACTCAAGGGAGGGGATAAAGTGCTAATGACATGTGTTGGCATTGGCTTCTCCAACCTCAGCAAGACCCTCAAGTGACACTGTCACAAAATGAAAGGCCCCAAGGTCTCAGACAAAGCAGAAGCCGCCAAGAAACCAAAGGGACCAAATTCATCCAGAACGGGATGGCCTCTTACATTAAGGACTTTCTTAATTTTCCACTTAATGACAATCAGGATATCGACCTGGAAGAACGTCTCTATCATGTGGTTTCCAGGGCATTGACGTTCCTCAGGAGGCCCAGTCATGATGCGAGCTCCCTTGGCTTACCTGGATGAAGAGCGCGCCTTCAGGACACAGTTGGGCTGCTAGAACCGTATCACAGCTGCACGTTGGCAATGCCTCAGCCCACATCCCTGGGCTTCTGCCGTGTGGCTGTTTTCCAGCCCTGTGGAGTCTGTTACCGTTCTTTCTCCAAGGACTGACCTCTGTGAACCTTGGCTTCTGTGTAGGGATTGAATGAGATGATACGGGTGGAAGTTCTTTATGAGTAGTACAGTGTTAGGCAAATGTCGGAAATTGGAGTATTAGCCTCTTTTAGCCCTTGTCTTCTGAATGGACTGCTGTCTTGGAGACAGATGCTGCTGCTGTACTTGGATGTTGGGGGATGAGTGACTAGGGAGAGCGGGGGTCCAACTAAAGTTATTGAATGTTTTCTATATCTCAGGTCTGCTATGCATTTTCTTATTTTATTTTCACAATAGCCCAGTGATTTCATTATCTCCACAAGAAAAATTCAAAAAGGGCATTTTGTTCGATAATGTAAAGATACTAGGTGTCCTGATTTAAAGATCTACGTGTAGTAGTGTCAGACTCTCGAATTTTGCCCTACTTGCAAGCTGTTAAGTTCGATTATTACAGTTCATGGATATTAGCAGAAGATGTGAGAGTCCTGGGTCAGAGACAAAGAACTTTTTTCACTCAGAGCACAGCAAACAGCCTGAGCTTCATGTTTGTATTGGTTTCTTTGTCCCCGGAGTCCCACAGTGGTGACATGGGGGGGGGGCCCGGGTAGCTGCCATATATGCAGGGGGTTTGCATCACAACAAAGGAACACGGATGCTTTGGACTCCACCTCTGACAGCAAGCCTGCTTTTTGTTCCAGATGGAGACATCACTCACCCTTCAAAATCGCTTGCTATGAGCACAGTGATGAGAACAGGCCAGGGTAAAGGCCTCCCCAGCAAGAAAGTGCAGGAACACTGCACAATGTGATTGCTCCTGCATCTAACTGAGGCTGCATGTGGTGTGTGTGTGGAGTCAGAGGTGGTAGAAGGGTACTATCTAATTCTTTCTATTAGGATCCAAAGGGTATTTTCCACCCAGGGTGGACTTTTAAAGTAAGGAAAGGTCTTTGCCTCCCCAGTTCTCTTGGTACCCTTTCCTTTTTCAGTAAAAGGGGTCCAGAGGAGGTCTGTGTCTGGGGATTGTGGGAGGATGTGAAGATGGAAGGCTAACAGTGAAGAAGGTTAGGCCATCTGGAACTGGGGCTGTCTACTTACTGAGAACTTTACATACTATATTAGATTTCTGTTGCCTCAAAACAAATTACCACAGACTTGGCAGCTTAAAACAATACGTTTATCATCTCAGTTCTGTAGGTCAGAAGTCCTGGTGGCCTTGCTTGGGTTCTCTGTTTAGGGCTTCCCAAGGCTAATGTCAAGGTGTTGGCCAGGCCGGGCTCTGGGAAAGAGTATGCTTTCAGCATCATTCAGGTTATTGGTAGGCCCTGGGACTGGAGTTCCTGTTTCTGGCTGGCTGTCAGCTGGGGACAGCGCTCTGCCTGTAGAGGCTGCCTGCATTCCTCGTAGCTTGGTTCCCTCCATTTTCAAGCCAGTGTAACATGCACTGAGTTCTCACGCTTTGAATCTGACTTCTTGTGATACCAGGGTAATCTTTCTAACTTAAGGTCATATGATCACACCAGTACCTAGGGTAGTGTTTGAATAGCCAGGGGCCAGCAATCTTGAATGGCCAACTGAGAATTCTGTCTGCCACATATACTGCAGTCTTATTTATTGCTGCTGACATTTAAACCCAGATCTGCCCATGCTCAGAGACAGAACTAAGGGGCCAGATTTCTTTGGATATGTCCCACAGGGGCTTTCTGTCTCTTGGAACAAGTTCTGGAAATGGTACTGCTAGTCAGTTTTGGGTGGCATGGAGTCTTCCAGGCAGATCATTGCAATCAGTAGAAGGGACATGCGCCCCATCTGCTGTAAACACAGATGTGCCTGGTGGTTTCCAGCCCTCCATCTGGAACAGCTGCTTCTGGAGTGGTAGTGTTGATGATATTGCCAATAGGAGGACAGATTTAATGTTTATTTAAACAGCCTGCTCCCAGCCACTTCTCAGATGCCCAAGAGAAGCAGTACCATCCCTTGAGTAGAAGTTGCTGGTACACCTTAGTGACTTTCAGCTCCTGCAGTCTCTGCCTTGTTCTTAACTTAGCTCCTGGTTGGTCCAGCTACCTTTGGTGTAGTTTGATGAGACATTCCAGCATTTTGGGCTTACTCTTCTGTCTTGGCCTGTCTGCTCCCTTCTGCTGACAGAGACAGACCACTCGAGTTCAGTGAGACTAGTGATTGTTTTTAAAGGCAGATACACCTGTGACATTTTGGGGGTCATGATAGAATCATTGCCTTTGTGTCCCTGTCATATACCAGGTCCTGCTTCTGTCTTTCATCATCCTTCGGTGCTACATTCTGTGTGGACACCAGCCAGCCTCCCTCCATCGTGATTATTTTACCATATTTGTCAAGACAGTTGATAAGGGTGGAAGGAAGCTAGGGTGTTGCAACGTGACATGCCAAAGGGAAAAGAGCAATAGGAGACACTGCTGAAATCCAGACTGCCCTCAGGGCAGCTGAACCTCATGGTTCGCTTGTTTGTCTCAGTCTTTTCTGATAAAAAGTGGTGAAGGACATCACTGACTACAGACCCAACCAGAAAAGCCCCAAAACTTAGATTGCACCACGGCACCTATCGTCTCACTGTCATTGTACAACGGAAGACTGTGAGATGGCCATTTCCGCTCAGTCTTTTGTGTTGGGAGGCTCGTGGTGAGGCCAGTGCTAGCAGTTTGTTTTGTGGTGACCAAGGGGGAAGAGTTGAGGGTGCTACAAGGCAGGGAGGGAAGTAGCAAAATGGAGTAGAGGAGGCCTGAAGAAGTGGACAGAATTGAAGGTAGACAGAGAAAATGAAACACCAGGGAACTAAGGAATCACCTCAGTCTTGGCTGTGCCCAAGGTGGGCATGGCCTTCATCTGGGTGAGGTGAGGGGAGCAAGGCAGGGTGCAGAAGTGATTTATCGGGGGGTTTAATCATGGTGGAAGGCTTAGAATGTGGGGTTCTGTTGACTTTACCTGCTGGTGATTTGTTGAAGACCTGTGGATTTGCCAGTGGGTGACTTGGGCCAGTCTGTGATGAGCAGGAAAGCAACACCACAGGCCGCCTGGACCCCACCTTGTTCCTCGCCCGACCCCAGGATGGAGGAGAAATAACTTGTGCTTCGGCAGGGTTTCCATACTTAGATGACCCTGGCCTGTTCTTTAGAAGTGACTAATAGCTAATGGAAATGTCAGTAGACAAGCTGGGTCTTCCTGAACTCCAGTTGGCCAGGTCTAAGAAGCCATTAAAGTGGAACAATTTGTCAGTGTTTGGCATCTTTCAGAGGCCAAGCCACATCACCCCAAGCAAGTAAAAGCTGTCATTTGGTCAGGGGCTGCCTGGGTCTGGGGCTGCTCTAATTCCATGTCACACTTGGCCCTTAACGGTCAGATAGCCTGTCCCCATGCCTGAGGCACGGGCCTTGGGTCAGCACCTGTGGATGGACCAGGTCAGAGTTTTGGCACATGGGCCGCTTCCTCTCTTCCTGGGTTTTCTGATGCTGGTGTTTCTAGATGTGCATCCTGCTCTGCTGACACCCTTCTGTGGAGCCTGCAGGGGAGGTGATGGTGATTCCAGGAGGTAAGTGGCCCAGCTTGTTTTCTGGCCCAGCTCGGAATTAACCATCTGTGACGGTATAAATAATTCACCTTCCCACACTTGGGCTTCCTCTGTGGAATCAAGGTGGCTGTGTGAGATGGTGCCAGAAAGATGAGAGAGATGCCCATCACTGCCTCCTCTCCTGCTCCCCATCCTCATCTGTAAGTGCTTACTTGGGATGGCAGATAGGTTAGTTGGCATGAGTATTTTTATTTTAGACATTGAAATATTTCTCTCAGGTCTCAGGATACTCTATTCCTGTGTTTCCTCCCCATTCCAAAGTTTTACATCTAAAAATACTCAGATTGGTTAATTTGTTAACAATTTCTGCTGTGATTTGGGAAATTGTATATGAAGGTATATAAATTTCTGGAAATCAGAGGCTCTCTTGAATGAACCATCCCAGCCATGACACATGTGGCAACTTCATATGTCTACTCTGAATACCCTGTCACCACGCCAGTGAGGGTGGTGGTCCTGCTGCTGGGCTCAGCAGGGGCCATTTAGGCAACTGGTGTCACCTGGGGAGGAGATGCTGCCCCAAAGGAAGGGGATGATGGGGCAGCGGCCTGTTCCCGCTGCATCTGCAGCGGGACATGGTAGGACATCTTGAAAACATCTCTTTATAGTCTTTAGGGAAAGATGTTGGTGGGGACTGTATATTTGAAATGGTGCCTGGTTTGCACCAGGGATCCAACATAAGGTCATGACAGCTGACCTCAGGCTGTTTTAAATGCTGGGTGCGCTTGACTCCCGCAGCTTCCCACATACTCCTCTCTCCCTCCATGCTGTTTCCATCTCTCTGCTGTTTGACCTGTTAGGCAATTAAAGGCATCGTGCCTAAGATCTGTAAGCTTTGAAGAACCAATGGAAAGGCTTACCAAAAAAGTGGGGGGAAAATTCTGGCTCCAAATTATGCAAAGAAAAGAGCAAAAGTAACTAAATATCCACAAAAGGAACCGTTTCCAAGCTTAAAATGTTGAGAACAGTAGAGGTGAGAGTTTCTTCACAAGTATTTCCAAGCACACACAGTGATTGCAAGGAATCAGACCTAATCATATATTAACTGGGTTGCTGGTCAACCAAGCAATTTAAAAGACAGAATTATAAAGAGCCTTTCAGAAATTTGGCATGTGGCTACATTTTAATGTGTGTGGTTTGGTGATGCTGTCCAAGAAAGTAAAACTGT